TTTTTGTTGTTGTTTTCAGTTTCATTTTCAATATTCCACAATGGCCGAAACACGAAAGCCCAACAAATTGTACGCCACTCACCCCAAGGGATACGGAAAGGGATCCAGAGCCTGTAAGGTTACCGGACGTGAAGGAGGTAATGGACTTATCCGAAAATACGGAATCAACATGAAGCGTCAAGTATTCCGCGAACGCGCCATTGAAATGGGATGGATGAAGTACAGCTAAATCATATCTAAAAAAACAAAACAATGAAATGAAATGAATCAATATTATTTGGAGTCTTTTAGTTTTTGTGTTGGTAATGCTGATAGACTGTAGTTGATGATTGTGAGACACTTTGTTTGAGGAGATTGGAGTGTTGATTGATTGGCAGAGATAGAGGAGCTACCCCAACACATTACTACACGAGCTCAATAAGGTTGTTTCAAAGTTTAAAGTAGCATTATGATCATTCGTTTCATTGCACACTTTCATCTTTGTCGTTCCAATGCAAAATAATTCTACTCGAGCTGACGAGCTACTAGAGGCCAAGGATCAACAGGAAGTTGCACAACCAGGGTATCCACCAAAAATTCAGCTGCTCCTCAATATACTGTCCTTCAATCACCGTTTTGTCTTCATCCTGTCGGCATTCCAAGACTTTGGCGAGCACTTTGGATGCTTTTTAAATAAGATGGTTTCCGGCACAACCAAGCAACAGGAGCAGCAGTATGTCATTATTCCACTAGTAGGGTAGATCAATGAATTGAATTGAATTGAATCAATCAATCAATCTTCCATTTGATCCGCCAAATTGCTGCGCCCCAAAACAATAGTCTCTTCTGGTACAAAATACCGGGTGGTAATATTTCGGGCTCCCGTTTGTTCGTTCAATATTGTCAACTCTTGAAACAGCATGGTGCCATCTTCCACCAATCGTTTGATATCCGTGACATGGGCCATACCATTCATTGTCAACAAGGAAGAATCGATCCGCAAATGAGTGGCAGGATTTTCGGTAGTAGCCAGTGATTTCTTGGGACGTTCACCGGGTTGCAAGTATTCCACCTTTTCTTCACCCAGGTTCAATTCCACCACCAAATCATTATTGACCCGGGATCGTTTGATAATTTTCAGAGTGGTATCTTCCAAAGAGATACTGTGATAGGTTTCTTGATCGCTCTCTCCCTTTTCATGAGCTTGAATGGCTAATTCATTGACTTGGAGGGTTTGTAGGTAGCCTCGCATGTGCCATTGCCCTTTGGTTTTGTCCAATTTCCAAACGCCGTTCAAATTCGATCGAGCGATTTTTGGGGCTGCTGGTCGTGGAATAGCAGTAGCGGGTGCAGTTGCGACGTTCATACTAACTACTACGAGGTGATGTAAGGAACGAGTGCACTACAACAGGAAATGGATTGAAAGTCAACAAGAGAAGGAAGTTGTGTTGTCGTTGTTGTTCGGATATACCGGTACCGGTATGGAATGGAAATCAGAAAAAATGTCTCACCTGCCAGCTACCGGTAAAGTAGTAGATGAACGTACAAAATGGTACATGTGACGTCATGCGTCAAACCGGAATTTTTCGACATTCAAAAGAGGGGAACTATTTAGGGGAGTCATTTCTCATTGGCCTGCAGGCAGCAAAAACGTGTTGCCGAACGAAGACGAACTCTCATCACGATCTATTTTTAGTTTGGTTTGTGTGACAGGAAGGAGCATTGGCAACATCCCATTTCTCGTGTGACATTCACCCAACCGTCTTTAGGGCTTGTCTTTGTGTCCACACAACCTTTTTTCCTTTACAAGCAATAGCTTGAACAACACACAGAGCCTTCAAAATGGCAATGAAATTAAGAGATCTCATCCGCAAAGTGCGGGCCTGCAAAACAGCAGCGGAGGAGCGTGCAGTCATTGCCAAGGAGTCTGCGATGATTCGTACGGCTATTCGGGAAGAACAGGAACATTATCGGCATCGCAATGTAGCAAAACTTTTGTTTATGCACATGTTAGGTACGTTTGTCAACAACCACAAGAGGAGGCCTACAAACGCCAATGATGCTCACTTGATTTTTTGAATGTTTGTGATTTTTTGAAATTCCCCTTTTTGCAATACGAAAATTACCCCAATTTCCTTATTGAAAACCATCAGGATATCCAACTCACTTTGGTCAATTGGAATGTATGAAGCTCATTGCATCCCCACACTTCCCAGAGAAACGTATTGGATACTTAGGAATGATGCTGTTGTTATCAGAAGAAGCTGACGTTCTGATGCTTTCAACGAATTCACTGAAAACCGATTTGAATTCACGAAACAAGTTTATTGCCGGACTGTCGCTTTGTACCATTGGAAACTTGGCGACCTCGGACATGTCTAGAGATTTGGCACCGGAAGTGGACAAACACCTCAAGTCTGGCAACGCATATCTTCGAAAAAAGGCCGGTCTTGCCATGGCTAGATGTCTCACAAAGTGTCCTGATATGGTGGAAGATTTTGTGGATCGTGTGGTCTCCTTGCTCAAGGATAAGAACCACGGCGTGCTCATTACGGTAGTCCAATTGATGACACAAGTTCTCATGATTGACATGAAGAATGCTGAAGAGGAGGGAGAGAATCCATTCCAAACTGACTGCCGTAAATCTTTCTTGCGATTGGTACCTATGTTGGTAAAGATGCTCAAGAATCTTCAAAGTCCCGGTCACGCCCAAGAATATGAAATTGGTGGAATTCCAGATCCATTCCTTCAGGTTCAACTGTTGACCCTCCTTCGATTGCTGGGTGCCAAGAACGAAAAGGCTTCGGAAGAAATGAATGATGTCTTGTCACGTGTGGCCACTGGAACCGAGTCGTCCAAGAATGCCGGAAACGCCATTTTGTACGAGTGTGTGCAAACCATCATGGGGATTGAAAGTGATGACCAACTTCGTGTGCTAGCTGTCAATATTCTTGGTCGATTCTTGTTGAACAGGGATAACAATATTCGATATGTGGCTCTCAACACTTTGGCGAGATGTATTGTAGAGCAAAACAAATCGGGAACATCTGCTGTAGATCCCAACTCGGCTTCGTCCGCCTTGCAAAAGCATCGTGCCACCGTGGTGGATTGTTTGAAGGATCCTGATATCAGTATTCGACAACGAGCGCTAGAATTGATTTACCACTTGGTGAATCATGAAAATGTGGAATCTCTGACTGCCGAACTCTTGAATTACTTGGTGCTTTGTCCAAGAGAGCATCGAGCGGATATCTGTACCCGAATCTTGCGAGTAGTGGAGAAATACAGTCGCGATGATCAATGGCGTGTTGATACTTTGATTACTATGCTTACGATTGCTGGACGTGAGGCCACCAACGAAGTCCAGAGTTCCTCTGTCATTTACATTTCCAGATCTTCCGAGGATGTCCATACCTATGCCACACACAAACTGCTAAAGGCAATCCGTGATGACGATGGGTCACAAAGAGGTCTCTTGGTTGTTGGTATCTGGTGCATTGGAGAATACGGAGATCTTGTCTTGTCCGATTATTCCTACACGCCACAAAGCGATCCGAGCAACCTGGCTCCAGTCAGCATCACCTTTATGGCAATGACTCCATCCAGTGTAGTAGAATCAGTGGAAAATGTTATTCAACGACACTCTTGCCCGGAATCAGTCAAGGCTCGTGCTTTGACATGTTTTGCCAAGCTCAGTGACCGGTTTGCTGATAAAGGAGATGCCGCTGCCTTGGATAAATTGCAAAAGTTGTTGAAGAAACACCAGGGATCACAGTCGCTAGAATTGCAACTGAGGTCATGCGAATACGACGCCTTGATGAATGCGGCCAAGGGTATCAAGCTTGCCCCAATTAATAGGGCCGCCGAGAATGATTTGTTTGGAGTTGCGGACGATACCTCTGGCGGCCCTGTCAGCGCATCTGTGATTAATGCGGCGAAGGAGGCTTTGTCGCGCATGCCAGTGGTGGATTTGAAGGTTCTACAAAAGAACAAGGAGACCTTTGGTGGTGGTGACGTCGGTGCATCCTCCGCCATGCCAACTGCCTCGGCTGCTGCTCCAGCTCCGGGTGGCGACTTGCTCGATATCTTTGGAGGTACTCCCGCACCTGCACCAGCACAAAATGGTGGTGCCCCAACCGGAGATGCCGGCAAGAGCGATTTGGATCTGTTGACAGACATATTTGCGGCATCTGCTGCTCAACCAGCCGCTCCTGCCATGGGCAGTGGTGGCTACGATCCATTTTCTGCTCCACCTGCACAAGCTTCAGCACCAGCAGCTGCAAATCCATTGGACATCTTTGGAGCAACCCCAGCAGCACCCTCACAACCAGCTGCTCCTGCGAATCCACTCGACATTTTCGGTGCTTCCGCTCCTGCACCGGCTGCTCCAATGCCAGCACAAAATGACATTTTCGGAGCACCTCCAGCTATGCAACAGCAAGCTCCTGCAGTAGCAGCGCAACCACCAGCACCTGCCGCTCCAGCTGGGGCACCCGCGGCGGCTGGACCTGTCACTGTACCTGGCCTTACCCACCAAGGGCTTTCGATCGAATTTGAATGTTCGAAACCTGACATTTGGAACAAGCAAACGTCAGAGCTAATTGCGAAATGCAAGAATGCAAACGTTGTAGCACTGAATGGTTTCAACTTGCAGGTCGCTGTTCCCAAATACATCACTATGGAGATGGAACCACCATCGTCTACCACCGTTCCTCCAACACAAGGGGCTAACCCGAAACTCGTAACTCAGAAGATCAAGGTTATCAATTCCATGCTGGGGACCAAGAATCTCATGTTGAAGGTGAAGGTCAGCTTCACATTGAATGGGAATAAGGTAGAACACTTGGCAACATGTTCTGGATTCCCAGCCGGCCAATATTAAATCCCTTTCTAGAATCAATATTACAACGCTGAAACTCTTGATGTATATTTCTGGCAAGAGATCTTCTGAATAAGGTCCATATCCGTCAGATGCTCTTCGAAATCAACAATGACTTCGGTTGCCCATGAAGAAGCAGTCGATTAAGTCAGCCAATTAGTCAATAACGATGCGATGGCGATGGATGTACCGGTATGAGGTACTAATATCAAGTACGTACCAGGTACTTGATGCTTGAGGGATATATTGTCCAAGAAATATCTTTGATATCATCTATCTAAATCATTATTGGATGGCTTTTGCCAATCCGAACCCCAGTTAGTGTGAGACAGTATTGTAGGCATGTAGTGGCTGTATCATCGTGGGGTACGTTTTTCTCTTCGTCCGTCTTATCACAGTATCAGTGTGGAGGTCGACTTTGGAATTGACCAATTTGACTAACCCTTACGGAGATGGCGTCGTCGTCATCATTTCCTTGGGTGCAGTGATGATTGTAGGATCTGTTGAATACACTCACTCTTTCAAGACTTGTCTAGAACCAGCGGTGTGATGAAACTCATGGCGACACTACCAGCTACCATCGTCGCCCTTTCCATGGGGACCCGAGCGCTGAATCTTTCCAAGAGCTCGTTTGGAGGATCTCAGTTTCGTTTGAAGAGATCCTTTTCCAGGATGGTCTCGCCCATTGTCATGATGCCTGAAGGTCCCGAAGTCCGTACCGTGGTGGATCAATTGCAAGGAGGAGTAGGGAAACGATTGGTAGACATTCAATTCTTATCAGGAAGATATATTCGCCATGGTCGACCGGTTGGTTTTGAAGAGTTCGCCATGACAATGACGCCCAGTACTTCTTGGACAGGCGAGGCTGAGGCTATTGATCAGATTCAAGAATGGAATGCCAAAGGAAAGTTCATATATTTAACGTTAGATGATGGAAATACAGCTCCCGAGGATGATGATGACTTTGCTCGAAGCATATGGATTACGCTTGGTATGTCGGGTAGGTTTCTCGCTGAAGGCGCTCATCAACAAGATCCTCGGTTTGCTCGCTGGTACCTCGAAATGTTGGACATAGATTCTGGATCAACCCGCAAAATCTACTACCATGACCAGCGCAATTTTGGAGTTCTCAGGTTTTGCCTTTCGCAACAAGAGCTGACCAAGAAACTTGAGTCGTTGGGTCCGGACATGCTGAGTGAGGACACAACCATCGACGACTTTTTGGAACGAATGGACCAGGCACGACAAGATCTGAACGTTTGCAAGTTCCTAATGGATCAATCTGTAAGATATATATCTTGAAGTATCTTATTTCATTGTCCTATCGCACTAACATTCGTATCGTCTTTCCTTCATTAGAAAATTGCAGGTGTTGGAAACTACATCTTGGCTGAAGGCCTCTATCGAGCCATGGTAGATCCTTTTGCTTCCTTGAATGAGATTAATGAAAGCCTACGGCGGAGTCTCTTCGACGAGCTTCGAGCAGTCTCTAGGGACTCTTATCAATCCCAAGGAATGACCAGACCCGGCGGTACATTTCAAGGCGTTGAAGGAGACCAAGGCCAGTATGCCTTTCAACTGCAGTGCTATGGACAAAAAGTATGTCCCAAAGGAAATCCTGTCATAAAGGACACTAGTGGTCCACATAAGCGAACCATTTGGTACACGGAAGAACAGCTGTTCAAGCCACTTTCCGAGCGCCGCTTTTCCATGACATGGACCGAAGAAGATGAAGCAAAAGTAGCAGCTTCTGCAACTGATGATGACGACTTGGATGATGAAACGACAGCTGTTTGGAAGGCTGGTAAGGACATTGGTCTTGGACTGACCGATCCTGGATGGAAAGAAGTACTGGGAGAGGCTCTGTCCTCGGAATCCTTTTCCAGGCTTCAGGCCTTCTTGGATCAAGAGATCGCGCAAGGTGAAACCATCTATCCGCCTCCAGACCAAGTTTTTTCCGCCTTTAATCTGTGTCCGTTTGAAAAGACTAAGATCGTCATTGTCGGGCAAGATCCATACCACGGACCTGGGCAAGGGCATGGTCTAGCCTTTTCGGTTCAAAAGGATGTCAAGAGTGAGTGCCTTCTTGTGACGAATGGACCTTTTCTTGTTGTTTCCATTGTTCGCTTCTGACTTCTTTCCTCATCCTGATTAACTTTCTAGTTCCTCCATCTCTCCGGAATATCATTGCCGAAGCCATTGACGATCTTGCCATCAAGCAATACCACGGCAACTTGGAGCACTGGGCGAAACAAGGGGTCTTGATGCTAAATACCGTTTTGACTGTCCAACGAGGCAAGGCCAATAGTCATGCCAAACAAGGATGGGAGGATTTTACGGATCAAGTCATTTCCGTGTTGAATGAGAAAAAGGCTGATGATGGTGGTTTGGTATTTCTGCTCTGGGGCAATCCAGCGAAAAAGAAGGCAGCTGGAGTGGACGAAGACAATCATTTCTTGATTCAAAGCAGCCACCCGAGTCCATTGGGAGCAACCAAGACAAGTCAACCATTTTTGGGAAGCCGGTGCTTTAGTCGAGCTAATAAAGCATTGGAAGAGATGGGAAAGGAGCCCATCAATTGGGATATAATATGATAGAACTTGTGCTATACTATGATTTGTTTGGCTTCTCTCGTTGGCTTCGAATTCGATAGCAAAGCAGGATGAGAACAACATACCATTTGGTGCTTATCTTGCATGCGAACGGGATACATTTCGTTGTCAGAATGGTATTACGATGCATGCAATATTGCTATCGGATGTCTGGCGTGGCTGATAACACCTGTGATGTACCCCCTGATACCAGTATTCCATTCATTAGTCTTGGAGACGAAACTTACAAGACTGAAGACGCCTATTTGGTCAACGCACAGGTTATGAACCCACGCGACCAAACCCTGACTGAAAATGATTCCGCCTCATCGAATCATCTTGGATATGATATAGCAGCATTCAATTCAGGGAAATGCCCGACGATAGAAAGAAAATGCTCAAAACTGGTGTTCTTCTTATGGTTGCCGTCATCCTGGGTGTTGCCGTTTTTTCTTACGCCAGTGTCGCGAGTGCAGGTGGTCAGGATGGTCCTCATGCTGTCGTGGGAAGCGTTGAATCAGCACGGACCAACATAAACATGTCCACTGTGGCTCAAGTTCCTGACAATTTGACTCAAGATGCTTCCTTCGGTGGTGGGGATGGTGCTCAAGCAGTCGTGGGACATCCTTCCTTTGCTGAAGTCACCGATAGGGGAAATATCGAACCAGCACAAGCCAACATTAAAATGTTGTCTCATACCAAGAGTGGTATGCCCATCATGACTATGGTGCCTGACGATTTGACACAAGACGCTACCTTTGGGGTCAGTTTCCGAACTCGCATTTCAGACAATCGCGGCATGGCCACCATTACTGAACACTCGGTTCAAGCTGGATCCAAGGCATACCCGGTTAGGGACCCCATCAATCGACTACGAGCTGGATCCTTGCAGACACATCTGGAAACTTGGTCCGACCTTGATCGTACCAGTTTTACCATGGCCTCTCGTAACTTAAAGGATTTCAAGAACTCCATGGCAGTGATGTTGGATGGTATCTTTCATCCATTGTTGGGAGATGTTCACTACGAATGGATCTACCGTCAAGAGGGATGGAGACTTGAAACCAACGAGGATCAAACAAATCTATACATTAGCGGGTAAGTACTGACGCGTACGACAGACCTTCCGTTACAGAGACAAAGCCCGAAGTTTCGTTCATGTAGCTTTCCCAAATGAATGCAATCTCACACTATTACTTTTGCTACTTCAGAAATGCCTACAATCGTGCCCGTGCTGCCCAAATGTTCCCCGACGTAGTATTGGATCACTTTGTTTACAGCCGGCTCTTCAAGGGACATACCTATGGATACAATCCCAAGGGATTGTGGAACGAAACTCTTTCCGGAGCTCGTGACCACATGATCAAATTCTATAACTCGTGGTACCAACCATCCAATGGACGCGTTTTCTGTTATGGTGCTCCCGAATATATCAATGCTTGTTTGGATGCTGTTGATGAGGCTGTCACTCGCATGTTGAATGATCAAGCCAAAAAGTTGGAAGAGAACGGAGGTATTTCTATCCTGGAGGAATTGGGTGTCAGTTTGCCGGAAGACTCCAAGGTCGATTTCAAAAAGCTCAATTCCATCAACTCGGTCGAAGAACGGGTTCCATATCCCAGCTATGACCGACGTGAACGACGTGGTGACTTTCGCCTCTCCATTTCATGGGTTCTCAACGACAAGCCAATGGATAGGCGTACCGAAGTAGCCTGGTACTTGATTTGGGAAATATTGGCTGGACCCTCGGGCTTCTTAAGCCCTGATCCCATGTCACAAATCGATACTAACCTCCAACAATGGGTCATGACCATAGGAGTCAGCGGTCTTCCCACCGAAGCTGCGGCGGGTGAGGCCCGTACCAACATTACAAACATGCTGGGCGAACTTTCTCAAAACGGCTTTGATCACGAGGTCATGGCGATCGGATTAAACGAGGTGGAATTCATGTTGCGTGACATGAACACTCCTGATGGTTCTCCACTAGGTGTCCACATGTTCAAGACAGTCATGCGCAAGTGGAACTACGACTTGGATCCTACCTTGGCTTTGACTCAGATGGACGAGTTCAAATCTCTTCGAGCTCAATTGGAAGACCCAGATAATCTTGAGGGAATGGAGTTCATCTTGGAATTGATGACGAAGGGACTTTCCAATAATACTGCTCAAGCCATTGCTACCCTTTATCCTAGTAAAGAGTTGCGAATCAATGCTGAAAATGTAAGCAGTTGGTGATTTGGAGTACAATTGTGGTGCAGAGCTTTGCGTTAACGATTCGAAATGTTGCTCACAATTCCTAAATCTTTTTCAGAACGAGTATAAGTGGTTGAGGTTGCACGAATCCGACGAAGACTGGTACAAGGCCAATCGAACCGAGTTCATCCGTCAAACTGCCGAATTCCACCGCGTCGAGCAACAAGGTGAATCCGAAATGGACATCGCCACCATTCCACGCTTGTCGCCTAAGGATGTGCCAAAGAAAGCATTTGAAATTCCCACCAAAGTTACAGAAGGCGTTTTCGATTCCGACCTGACCATGATTGAGAACATTGTTCCCGACTCAAATAACATTACCTATGTGGATTTCACCATTGATATTTCGGTCATGCCCTTTAAGGATGTCATCTTGCTTCCGCTCATTTGTCGTTTGCTTGTTTTTGCTGGCACTGAGCACAAATCCGATTGGGAGATTCAAGATCAAATTGACCTGTACACTGGAGGATTGACCATCGAACCACTTGTGGAAGAAGTCTACGAGTTCCAAGAAGATTACGGATATAAGGTTGCCAGTGGCAAGCACATGATCACCAAGCTTTTGGTCCGCACGTCTTGCCTCGCCGAAAAGGGATGTGGTGAAGCCTTTAACTTGATCAAGACTGTCATTTACGACTCGGTGATTGACGAGCGTGAAAAGATCATTGACATTCTCCACAGCATTGTAGAAGATATGGAAGATGATGTTCAGCGCAATGGCAATGCTTACCTATTTCAAAGCATCCAGTCTCGATACACCTTGCCTGGATTCATCCGAGAACAATGGTTTGGAATCACTCAACTCTACAAGGCCCGTGCTCTCCTTAAAGACGGTGCTAACTACTCGAGATGGTGGGAGAAGTTTTTCACACGACTCTTGATAGCACATGACGCCATCAAGCGCACTCACCACTCCGGACTATTGTTGAGTATCACAGGCGACGAGAAGGCTATCAAGGACATTGGTGATGCGGTTCGTACATTTGTCAAGGATACGCTTCCGCCTGCTGCTCAGAGGACCCCATTCCCTGATTTTGCCAAGGTAGAGCACCCCTGGGTGGTTAACGGCAACTTGACGATGAATAAACGGTACGCACAAAATCTCGCTTTTTTAATTCCAACATTGGCGAATGATGTTGCAATGGGAGGACTCTTGTTTCAACCAGGAGAGCACATTAGTGGAGCTCATATGGCTGCTGTTCAATACTTGGGAGGCTTCTTTTTGAACGAAAAAATCCGCTCCAATCTTGGCGCTTCGCAAGCTTGGGCACAATTGGATATGGATTCTGGGGCTTTGATTTATTACAGCGAGACAACGCCGAGTATGATATCGACATTCAAGATCTTCCGTGATGCTGCTGGTTGGGTGCAGCAACAAATGGACGGGCACAAAAGTTTAGCAGTAGAAGCACAAGCCGCAATTATTGGAACGGTTGGCAAGATAGATGGAAGTGCCCTTCAGCCGGATGATGTCAGTCATGTTGCTCTTCTTCAGTTCTTGAAGCAAGACACTAAGGAAGGAAGAAAAAAATTGAGGGAGGAAGCCTTGCAGGCTACAAAAGAGGACTTTATCTTCGTTGCCAACAGACTTGCCAGTTGGGGTGGTGAAAGTATTTATGTCATGACGAATGAAGGGTCACTCGACCAGTTTAACAGCATCACATCGGGCAGCATTACACCGTGCACTCTGGTGGGTCCGAGTTCCACTTATTGTTCAAACTACCACCAGTAGTTGTACTGTTCTTTAGTTTTATAATAATCTTAGCATTCTATATGTTGGAATTGCTCTCTTGGAGACCATTCATTGGAAACTCCTTGATAGAAGCAGTTCGACACGTCCGATCGGACAGACGGACAAATGTCCGTTTTGATCCGTTTATTCGGGGGATTCCTATGAGTCGGTTTTGCAGGGAATCTGAAAACATGGAATTGTGCGCTTGGACTATCAAACGTCTGAGCGCCACGAAAATCCCATACTGAATCCTGCGGGAGTTCGGTACGTGGGTTTTGTACCGGCCTTTCTGGATTGCATAACATCCAGTAAAGTTTTGGGAAATTTGAGTTTTCGTGCAAGGCTTTTGCTTTGCCCATTCCATGTAGATAACAAGTCTTTTAGAATAGTTATTTCCTGTAGAGATGATTATTTCCTATTAGGCGGACCGGAGATCGCTATGGACGGTGCCTCTGCATGATGGGTCGCATGCTGGCACGGCTGGTTGGCAATTATGGCTTGATGGGCCACAACGTTATCAATCGGTTTGGACGAAGACAAGCAATCTGATGTCCGCCAGAACCAATTTCCAACACTATACATCATTAATATCAATGTCAAAAGCCTCGTCGCCACCTCCCAAGTATTCTTCCAGCCCCTTCACGTCTGTAATTCCTTCTGGATACAATTGGACTTCAAAATTCAAAGTAGCAAAAGGTGAACAATGACGTCTCCATTGGCTTTGCGATAGCCTTCCGATCCGTACCCATAATCCGAACGAATCAAGATGACGGACCACTTGCCAGGCTTCATGGTAGCCAATCCAATTTCCATGCCCTTGATGAGCTTGTTGGATCCCAATTCATAGGAGTATTTGGGATTAGAATCAAACATGTGCCCATACTCTAACGTAGACGAAAGCTCGAGAACAAATCATTGGATTCCTTTCATCATACTGACGACGGTCGATTGCTCAGCAACACGTTTATCGAACTTGTGTGCAAGTATACGTCAAGAAATAAGGTTTATTTCTTTCCTTCAATACTCTTTCATCAAGTTCTTCGGCGTCCTCGGCGAAGAGTGGTAGATCCCAGTTGCGATCTACGAAAACTGCCTGTGTCTGTTGTCGTCCCACGCACTTTCACACCTGACCTTCAGTGATCCTCCGTCTTCTCTTTTCCGTCGTGCCATCCCTGATTGCAGCCTAATCATGAAGTTCCTGACTGATGCTTTCGCGTCGGATCACCGAACCCGCGGACAAAGCTTCTGGGATCAACTCACTGGTCTGCCCCATAAAGATTCCCTCATCCATGATCACATCATCAATTCTCGGCGAGGAATGTGTTTGGATAAAACCATTCATCAGTCATTCGGCCACCCTGTCACGGATACCACCAAACCTGGATATCAGGTGACGTGCCCCGAAGATTTTGAACCAGAAGATCAACAAATGGAGGAATTGGAACAACAATTCGACCAGTGGAACGATCCTACTTTGACTTTTGCCCACCGCATGAAAAATGGAGAAACAATGTCTCCTGGTTTTGCCCTTTTGGTCAGGAAAGGAGAAGATGGACAGCCATGTCAAATCATGTTTATTTCCAATCCGGTCTTGACCAAGCCAGATGTAATGGAACCCAATACTTTTGGAGCTCCGGCTCCCTTTGGGGAAATTGTCAATAATGATCTTGCGCAAAAGTATGTAGGTGATCCTACAAAACGGACCCATTGTCTTTTGGGATTGCTGTCCGGACATACTTTTGCCTCTTATGGAATCGGCAATCGTATCGAATTTTCAAACTCTCTCCTTCCCGTTTTGATGACAGACGGAGCTGCGATTAGAAATAAACCTTTAAACCGTGATGATTGGAAAATTCTGTTCTTTCCCGCAATGTCTGCTTGTCCTGTGGGATTTGTTTGGCCGGCGAGTGATGGTTTCGAGGCCTTTCAAGAGAGTATTACCAATCGGAAAAAAATATTCACTGGTCTTCTTCACCTATTGACGTCAAGGAAGACTATCATTGAAAATTGGTTCACTGCCGTTAAGGCCAGTCCTGCAAGTTTTGCGGTCCCAGTGGTGGATGCTCTGCCGTTTTGGTCCTGCTTTCCCACTGAGCATGACCCAGTCGACGCCTGTGTTTTGGATGTGGCCTTACTAGCCCCATTCCAAGAACAAATGGATCGTTTCCTTCAGAGCCACTTGATGCAACTCATATACAGAAGTGGATCCTTACCTACGTCGACTCTTGGGTTCAAGATGCGTGCCTGGGTCAGGATGCATAATATGCGCGTGGCGGAGTCTTATCCTTCTGCCTTGGGTATTACTTTACCAGATGTCTGGAAGGTTTTGATTACAAAAACGATGGTCAAGTTGCAGTGAATATCGTTTGCACTGCTCTTGAGTACCGCATCAAACACCAATTTGGATCTTTCTTGCAAGTTGGAGAACTTCAGCGTGACCTACGGTCTGTGATGAACAGTGACTTTGTCAAAAGCAGTTATAATATTGCTACTTGGGGAGTGGATCCTGACAATGCTCAACCTCCAGGAACATCTAAACGATTTTCTTTGCTGGCGTTCCTTCCGTGCGTTTTGGAAAATCTTTCTTCTGAATATCTCCCACGTGACGGTCTTACATGGCAGCAGATGAAAGAATTTGCAATGGTGACATACTATCACTTTGCACTTTTGGGATGCACAAATCCGACATCGGACAACGGTGATTATGACGATTCACTATTTCGGAATTCCCTTTTTGGCCATTGTTTGGGATACATCTGTCAATGCGTTCAAAACACAAACTTGGGACGTTGGTGGGATCAGACGCCGGCGCAGTGTACTGCTGAGTGAACTGTTCTATCTCTTGAAGAAGTTTGTTGACCATCGTATTGGCCATGATGTGGAAAACTATGGTATTGGTGATGCCTGGCCCACAAATGCCTCTGTCACTTTGCTGGCTTGTTTGAAAGAACCCCGCGTCCTTCCAGAGACAGGTATTCCGACCATGTTGGATCCTATACGGGCGAAATTCAACTCTGCTGGTCTTCTTCGATTTGACTTTCTTCATGGTGATTTCATCCGTTGGTTGGGTGGAGAATATGTCAATTCAGCTCGTGACTTCAATGCCGAATGGGATGTCATCGACTCCACATTGCATAATCGCGAAGTTCCTGCTGAATATCCTCCACTAAAACTGGAAATGGCTTACCGTATCCAGACCGAGGGCGTTCCTATCAAGGCCAAATACACAACTCCGATGTCTGCTACTGTTCTACGTGAAGAATATGATAACCATCCTGCCGTTGCTGCCAATTTTTCGAAAGTCGAAGAGAAGTTTGCGAAAGAAGAATGGAAGGCCTATCACCTTCACTACTTACGGTTCGTCTTCCAATTTATTCCAGGATTGGTTATTAATCCCATCCAGTGGGTTTTTGACAAAGGCAAGGGCCGGATTTGTATTGATTGTTCCAATGGTCCTGACGACTTGGGATCAATCAACACCTACATCCCAAAACCGAAGCAAGATGAAACCGGCGATGAGTGCCCACCCATTCACTACCAGTTCGCGTTCAAACGGTTCCTTTGTCAGATTCTCCGTATGCGCATCACCGAACCAACAAGTCCAATCTTGGTTCATGCTGATGATGTCGAGGCTGCCTTTTGCCGAGTGCTTTATCATCCGGATGTGGCTGTGGCTTTCGCATATGTCTTTTCTGATTATTTGATTGTCCCAGTGGGTCAAGTGTTTGGCTCGCGAAATGCTCCTTCTTTTTACTGTGTCCTTGCTGATCTGCGAGAGGTCCTGGCTATGTGTCGAGTCGACGTCCCTATGGACGAATTACATGATTTGGTTCAAAAATGTTCTATTTCTGTTGATACGACTACACCTTTGTGTACGGTGCCTGCGGATTCCCATCACCCACCATTGTCTATGGATGAACTGCTACGGATATACAATGCCAGCTATGGTGATGACAATGCGGTCGCTGCCTTTGCTGCCCACATTGAACAAGCCATACATCATAGTGTGATGTCGGCCTTTGAGGTTTTTGGCCATGATCCACGTCAGGGTGACTGCCTTCAAGCGACAAAGTGGGAACCTGAGGTCACCGAAACCTTCTTGTTTTTGGGTTTTTGTATCAATACCCATGATATGACAGTCTCTTGGCCCCTTTACAAACGGGAAGATTTGCACTCGCAGTTGGTGGACATTCTTAGCGTTGTCCCCGTTGTGTCTCTCCTCGAGAAATGGCGAGGATTGTTGGCATTGTCAGATCCGCATCTGAAATTGCTCCATGGGGCAATTTCTTGAGTTTCAACTTGCAAAATGCACTGACACAAGCGGCCAAGAATGCTTTCTCAGACAAACGAAGATGGTGGACACGCTCCCGTATCTACCTATCGCAGGTGGCAGTTGCTATGATCAATCAAATGTTGGAAACATTACTGGAACCTGAGGAGAGTCCACTTTGGTCTCGTCCTATCCTGTTATACTTGGATCGTGATTATACCCACCGCGCGTACTCCGATGCCAGTTATGGGGGTTTGGGTGGTTGGAGTGCGGACTTCAGTTTCCTTTGGCGCTTGAACCGTGACACTCTTGTCGAAGCCGGTTTCGAGATGCGTGCCATAAAAATCTCTTCTACCGACCCAGCATCCATTGATGGCTTCTTGCATATCAACCCATTGGAATACTTGGGCGCCCTCATCAATCTTTGGATATGTATAAAATGTGTGAAACTTCTCGGCCCCATCGATGGGGGCTATATCTTGGCTTTATTGATCGACAATACGACGGCTGTGTCGTGGATATCTACTGCATCTCGAACAAAAGATCCTCTTCTCCAGGGACTGACCCGCTTGGGTTCTGCATTGCTCGTTGAAGCCTCGCAACTACTAATGAAAGTTTGTCCTAAACATCATCCTGGAAACCAGAACGGAGCAGCGGACGCACTCAGTCGACCACAGCTTCAAGGAAAAGACCACAAGAATTCGTTGGCCTTCGTTATCGCGGAATGGTCCCAACTACAGACATGTTGCATTTGCCTTCTGCCTTTCAAATTGCTGTCCAAGATTGCATCAACGCTGAAAGAACCACCGACAGGGGATCAGTACGGGCGCGTAACGACAGATCTTTTGACTCTCAAGCCCAATTTTTTGCCGGTTGGTGCATCAGAAATGAACTTTCCGAGCACAATTTACAGAAGTTAGATGACGCTGGTTGCATTCTCGTTCTTGGCACTTATCTTCGTGATGTAAAACGGGGTGACAACAAACAAGAGAAAGCAGACTTGATGGCAGATACACTTCGTGCATATTTGTCTACAGCTCACAAATACTTGCAACATCGCCTGGGCCGATCTATCAATGTTATGGATCCAGCATATGGTGGTAAACAGAATCGATATCACCCATTTCTCTACCGACAGATCCATGATCGTGGTTGTTGGCAACAAAAGCATGAACGATACGAACCATTTACAATGGAAATGTTTCTTGCATTGCAATGATGGCTTGCTAGTGAACCAGATCCAACCATAACCTTCCTTGGAAAGATACATTCTGTCTATGATTGGACCCGTCTCGGTATCTTCACTGGCTTTCGGGCTAGCGAATATTCTCAAGGCGACTTAGGTCATGGAGAATTATTCAACAAGATTCCAGACAAACATGATGTTCCAGAACAGTTCCGGGGCATGCCTCTTGCTATGATGGCTCAGGATTTTCGCTTCTTTGACAAGCACTATGTGTTAATCCCACACAAACATTTGATCACACGGTATAAACGTGGTGATGTTGTGTGGCTTGAACTTTGATGGAAATATGATAAGAGCTCTTTCAACTTTGTGAAGAAACGCTTCAAAATCACAGGCCATCCTATCTACTGTCCCGTGGATGCCACTGTCTGCATCATTCATCGGTCGACTCTTCTTGGTGTTCCCACCGCCTATCCTGTTGGCGTTTGGAGTTCCAACACCTCATCTTATCGCTTCTTGAAATCTAGGGAGGTTTCTGAGGTGATGCGCGGTTCGGTTGATATGGCATATCCCGACCCGAACCACTATTTGCGGATTAACCACCATCTTATTGTTCCTCATTCCAACCGTGTCACTGCAGCAGTGTGCTTACAAAAAGGTGGAGCCAATAATGACAAAATCGCGTTCCAATTACGCTGGCTTCCGAGCTCTGTGCCCACCTACCTTCGCGACTGCTTCCAATCTATTGGTGACACTGTTGGAACGTGTATTAGATACTTAGATTGGACTAGTCAGATTAAGGTAGCCTGGTAGGCGCAGCGGTTCGATTCCGTAATACCTTATATTTGACATGGTAAGGTTATGGGATCGAGTCCTCGGTTCACATTGCCCTTGTCGATCTTGGAAATGAATGCCGACTGTCTGCATCGACAGGATAAAGATGGACGTGCGAGGGTTTCGACACCAGAAATGGGTGTGCGAGGCTGAAGGGCTATATCTAAGTATCGAATAAGGGAGGATGTTGGAACGTGTATTAGATACTTAGATTGGACTAGTCAGATTAAGGTAGCCTGGTAGGCGCAGCGGTTCGATTCCGTAATACCTTATATTTGACATGGTAAGGTTATGGGATCGAGTCCTCGGTTCACATTGCCCTTGTCGATCTTGGAAATGAATGCCGACTGTCTGCATCGACAGGATAAAGATGGACGTGCGAGGGTTTCGACACCAGAAATGGGTGTGCGAGGCTGAAGGGCTATATCTAAGTATCGAATAAGGGAGGATGTTGGAACGTGTATTAGATACTTAGATTGGACTAGTCAGATTAAGGTAGCCTGGTAGGCGCAGCGGTTCGATTCCGTAATACCTTATATTTGACATGGTAAGGTTATGGGATCGAGTCCTCGGTTCACATTGCCCTTGTCGATCTTGGAAATGAATGCCGACTG